TCTCTCTCTCTCTCTCTCTCTCTCTCTCTCTCTCTCTCTCTCTCCCTCTCCCCCCCTTCATCCCTCACACCTTCCTCCCTCTTTCCTTTTTATATGGTGGTACTGGTATTGAACTGAGGACCTCACACATGCTAGGCAAGCACTGTACTACTGAGCTACACTCCTACCATGTTTTAAGTTTAAGACAGGGTCTCACTATATTGCCAAGGCTACCACCAAACTTATAATCCTTCTGCCTCTCCTGAGTAGCTGTGATTACAGGCATGTGCTGCTCCCCCAGCTGCCTTTTTATATTTTTTATGACTTCATTTCATCCCAATAGATCCAATTCTAGCCCAGTCCTTCTCACCTCAAGCCTGTAGTAATCTTCCTCTGGTTCATGCACTCATTTATTTACTCTAAAGCATGCACTGGGTACTTTACTAGTGACACTCACTTGCTGGTCGTTTTAGGGTCACCATGTAGAAAGACACTGTCTTTTTGAGGAGTTTATAATTTGGTGGAGTCAGGTGGGTAAATACCAAAATGACAAAACCTCTCCTTCCAGATACCTTTCAAAGCTCTGGCCTAATATGCAGAAGGTACACAAAGAAGAGAGTGCCTCAGTCCTTCCAGGAAGCTAAAATCAGAAGCTTAGTGTCTGAACTGAGTCACAGAGTGTTGTAGGGAATTCCGGGAAGAGCAGGCCTCTGCCCAAGGGAACATGACGCAAGCTGGAAGCAGCAGCCTGCTCCTGACTCCAGGTTCTAGCTCAGCCCACATCTGCTCAGCTTGGCAACGGGCCCTGCATAAATTTCACCATCTTGCCTGGCTTAGCATTTCAACATTTCCTCCAGCCCATGTCTACCACAGTCCACCTCTGTTAAACTCCTTCCTTCCTCCCCCCTCCCTCGCTCTTCACCCCTGAGCCTGCACTCAAAATCCTGTTCCTCCTAAATCCCTCCACCTCTCCACACCTTCTCACCTAGCCTTATCTTTCCTAATTTTAATCTCTTACACCATTCTTTAGTTGTAGATTTAGTTCTTCAGTGAAATACTAAATTATATTTATGTTTCTGAATTATCCTGGGATCACAAGAGGAGTTCCATAAACTCATATTCTGTGCCACTAATGAATTAGGTCTCCACAGTGGCTCAGGAGGCGGCCAGAGCATCATGTCCTGTTTAGAAATTTAGAAGACATGATCCATCTTCTGTTAACTTTTATCCAGATCTGAGCTTAAATATCTACGCATCTGCAGATGGTAAAAGTAGATAAATTCTGGGGGAACATAGATACAAGCAACAGTTAACTTTTCTCCAAACTCTATTACAACCATATTTATTTATTTATTTATTTATTTATTATGTATTTGGTACAAGGTCTCTTCTATACAGCTCAGACTTGTGGTAATCCTTCTGTTTTCAGCCTTCCTGGCACTGGGATTACAGTGTGTACCACCGCACCCGGTCTTGGGCACCAGCACAGTGTGCCCGTGGTAGGGCCAGCATGGCATGTGGTACAGGGAATAGAACTGCAGTCCCTGAAAGCACTTAGTCCACTGAGCTATCTTGCTGGCCCTTCAAACTCTATTACAAATAAAATAACTGGCTGGCCCTACTTCTTGGTTTTGGCATGGAGGAGAGACTAGGGCGTGGAGGGGACAGCGGGGCAATAAGAAGATAAAGGTTTCACTTAAGGCTTCAATTAATTGCTGCTATGCTGGAATACTTGCCTGGTATCACCAAATATGCCAAGTTCTTGAGAAAAGCCAAAAATCTGGATTGTATTGTGACATGTCCCTACCTCATTTAAAAGAAATGAAAGAATAGTATAGGCCAATACTTGGTGAGCAAACACATTTTTATAGGCCCTGTTCATCCTAGAGGCTGCCTGCTCACACCCTTGTCCTAACTGATGACCCACTGCTGATGTACAGCTCCCCCTGCCCCATGGATTTTTATGTTCTGTGACTGATGACATAATGGAGATTCATTTTCCTGGATTTACACATATATTCATACTCAAAACATTCCCCATGAAGTTGGGGGGGTGTGAGGGAGACAGAAATAGAATATTTCTTATTTTGGGAGCTAGAGAGGACAGCTAGAATTTCAGGGTCACAAGGTGTCTGGCATCGTGAGAACAACCCCCCACCCCACCCCCACCCCCACCCCCAGCCCAAGGTGTTCTAGGCTGCTTTCAATGTGCTGTCCTGGGGTATCTCCTGGACCCTCCTTTCTCATTGGAGGACAGACAGCTTGGCAGTACAGTTACGGCTCACCCTTTCAGAAAGAGGACAAAAGGAGAGGGAAAGGGAGAGAGAACTACAGCTGGAAAACTCAGCGCAAAGCTTACTGCCTGTGTGGCTGACCTTTCAACTCCCCGTCATGGTTAGTGTGGCTGTTATGGTCCTCTCCTTGGGCCTGTCTGTCTCTAGGGTGGTGAGAATGTGGGCGGAGGAGCCAGGTCTCTGCCTTTGAATTCTAATCCTGCCGCCTCATGATGTGACTATCAGTAAGTTAGCCAACCTCTCTGGGCCTCCGATTCCACATCTGTGAAATGGGGATTATGATAGCACCACCATCATAACGTTGTCATTAGGATGAAAGGATCATGAATGTGTGTGATTGTCTGGACTGGTGCCTGGCACATCAGAAACACCCCTGCCCCAAATGTCAGCTGTGAGCTCCAAGAGTGTGCTGTGAACAGAATGCAAATGCCTGCCTTTTCTTGACTAGAGAAAGATCCTCCCCAGAAAGATGACATCCCTTGTACCCATGACTTCAGCTGGAGGGACTCACTCACTCACGGAGAGTGGGAAAGAGAGAACCCCTCCGGGCCGCAGCCTCTATCACTGCTGAGCACTCTGGCGGCCTCCACCAGGCCACAGCTGGCACCACCCATAGGTATGTCAAGGGGACTAAGGGGACAACCTGGAGTTCCACCTCAGAGCTAGGTCAGACCCATAGGTCCCAAAGGTGATTTAAGACTGTTCTGGGTTGGGGGTGGAAAAAGCTAGCCACAGTGGCCTCATCTGTTTTCCTGCCCTGCTGTCTGACTCAACAGGGCTGAATGAAACCCTCAGGGTTGCACCCCAAGATTTCAGTAAGTGGCTCTGAAATGACAGATGCTACTGGGGTGATGCCATCACAGCTGGAGCTGTCACTCCTGCTGTGGAGTGGTATGAACACCTCCGTGGCTTCCTGTGGGCTTTACCCTCCTTCTCCCTCCCTAGAGCTCTTCGTGGTCTTGCTACCGCAGGAATTGGGGTGCAGAGAGGCAGGAGGAGCTGGACCGCAGGGCTGAGGTGGTGGCCAGCTTCCCTAGGGTCCCAGCTGTCTCTCCTCATGCTCCAAGGCTCCCCTCATCCATCATTCATTCAACAAGCATTTTTTAAAGTACCTCATATTCCTAAATAAACTTGGATGATTCAAATTTTCTAAAGTAAGATGTCATCAGTGATCCTTAAATTTCCCAAGTGATTGTTCTGTTTTGTTTTTGAGACAGGGTCTCACTATGCAGTTCGGGATGGCCTTGGCTCACTTTGTACCCCAACTTGGTCTCGAGCTCACAGTGATCCTCCTGCCTCAGCCTCCTGAGTGCTGGGATTACAGGCATGTGCCAGTCTACCCGCCCTGAGATTGTTATTAAGGTTGAAAGTTTTAAAACTTAGCTAAGTACAGTAGTCCCCACCAATCTGCTGTTTTATTTTCTGAGGTTATTTATGCAAATATAATCCAAAAATAATAAATTAAATATTTCATTTTTTGCCAGGTATGGTAGTACATGCCTATAATCCCAGCACTGAGAGGCTGAGGCAGGAGGATTGCTGCAAAATCAAGGCCATCCTGGGCTGCATAAGGAATCCAGGGGCAGTCTGAACTATACTGCAAGACTCTGTCTCAAAAAAAAAAAAAAAAATGCCAGTTAAGTGGAAGACCCAATACTATTATGGGCTACTGGACTCTTTTAGAATATTTTGCTGAGTTTACACACCTATAATATTCAAATAACGGAACTTAACAAAAAAAGGGTGTACAGATGAATGTCTGTTTTGTATCTGTGTATTCAAAGTGGTTAGGATAGATATATAGTTACATTCTCTTAATGAATAGAATGGTTTGTTCTAATGGTGTTTGTAAATAGGATATCAAGTCTGCACCTTGTACAGCAATTAACCACTAAGAAGAATGTATGCAGTGTGTTAATTATTGAAACTGTCCTACCGATTTGATGTGAAAATAAATAAATAAATAATCCATTTTTGAGAGGGCCACATTCACTTCTTAAAATTATTTGCTGTGATTAACCTGTTTAGATACCTTATTCATTTATTTTGGTACCAGGTATTGAACTCAGGACCTTGCACTTGCCAGGGCAGGCATTTGCCAATAAGCTACATTCCTGGATTTTATTTTATTTTATTTTATTTTGAGACAAGGTCTCACTGTGTATAGTTCAGCCTCTCCTTCAATTCACTGTGCAGTCCAGGCTGGATTTGAACTTGTGGTGCTCTTTCTGCCTCAGCCTCCCAAGGGCTAGCATTGCAGGTGTTCGTCATCATGCCTGGCACCACCCCTAATTTATAAATGAAACCATCATCTGTATGTTTATAGGGCACAGTACCGGAGCAGCAGCACTTGGTACAGGTCAGTTTCAGGTATCCTCTCTGGTCTTGGAACACCTCACGCACGCACACAGACAAGGGGAGACTGCTGTCAGGTGACTTATACGCTATCAAACACTCTTCTGCCCGCACAGGAAATTCTATCTGAGCTGCCGTTTTCCAAAGTCTCCGCAGCCCTCACCCGCGAGGCTCTGCAGCTTTCAGCTTCGGGGCCTCGGAGAAGACGGGGGACAGCGTCATCGTCACCCGCGGGGGCAGCGCAGCCTTCCCTTCCTCCAGCCTCCGCGTCCTCACCTCCGCACACACGCACGGCCCACCTCCCTCTCACCGCCCAACTACACCAACGTCGCAGGAAGACCAGAGCTCTGGACAGCCTGAGCCTTGAGCTGGGGAAAAGAAAGCCCGGAATGAGACCCTGGGAGAGCTGAGTGGAGGCGGAGGAGGCAGCAGAGAAGAGGAGCTACGGAGAGAAGTGCTAGAGAAGGAAGCGGGAGAGAGAGGCTGGGGAGAAGAGGCGAGGAGAACACGCCGCACAGCGCTGAGGGATGCCTCGCTGAGGTTCTATTTATCTACTTTAACACTGGAAAGTAAAGCCATAAAGCAAAAAAGGAGGTGTGCTTTCTTCTTTGCCCAGGCCACTCTGGACGTGGATGAGGGGCCCTTTCTTCAGGTCTCCTTCTGCCAGTTTCTCTTGCTTTTTTTTTTTTTTTTTTTGTCTGATTCAGACTTCATGCTTTAACTCGCGACCGTATTCATAAGTGAAATAAACAAGACACATGTGTAAACATCATATTGTCTCCCTAGTGTGAGACGCTGAAAGAGTAAGTAGGATCCAAGATGTACAGTAGATATTGTGAAGTGGGAAGAAACTTAAAAGGAAAGAGAAATGGACAGGAAATGGAGAAAAGGAAAGGAAATAGATAGATAGATAGATAGATAGATAGATAGATAGATAGATAGATAATTACTAAGATAGTTATACTGTTAATTTCTCTTAGTTCATTGAAAAGAACGGTTTGTGCTAGCTAATATTGTTTGGACAATTAAATGTTGATATCTTGTACTCTGAGTAACTAATTTAAAGATAATAATATGTAATGCATTAACCATTGTTACCCTATTATCTTGTCTTGAATTTTTTTCTTTAAAATAAAAAAATAATAATAATAAGGGGCTGGGGAGATGGCTCAGTAGAGTAGGCACTTTCCTGGCAAGCGCAAGGGCCTGAGTTCAATCCCTGGTTCCGCATAATAAATAAATAAATAAACAAACTTTATGCTTTGCTCAACCTGTTCCCTCATCTCACCTTGTTAGCCTCATCATTTGGACTGGGGATTGGGGCTAAGAAATGCTCTCTCCACAGGACTGTAAGACAAGGTGTGTGACATAGGGGGAATTTCTCTGATGCATTCAAATTTCTTAGGTTTGCTATTGTTTCAGTCCAATAAACACTGGTGCAATTTTTTTTTACTTTCTTTTTTTCTTTTTCTTTACTTAGTTCCAGTAGTAAATCCAGGGCCTTTGCCATGAGCTACTTTCCCACCTCTTTTCATTTCTTATTTTGAGAAAGGGCTTGCTAAATTGCCCAGGTAAGCTTCAATTTGCAGTCTTCCTGCCTCAGCCTCCCATGGAGCTGAGATTACAGGTCTGTGCCTCCCTCTGCGCCAGATGGTGCAATTTCACTTGCCCCACCGAACAGGCCTTGGGCGTGTTGACAAACCCCACCATGCTTATTAGATTAACAATTCCGGAGAAAGGAGGTACAGGATCAAAGCAGGTATAGGTCAAGAGGCTCACTAAGAAGCATCTGTTAGATGGTCCACTGACTACTCTGCTTAAATTCTGCAAGCCGGGCATGGTAGCGCATGCCTGAAATCCAAGCACTAGGGAAGCTGAGGTAGGAGGATTGCTGTGAGTTTGAGGCCAGCTTGAACTGTATAGGAAGGCCTTATCTCAAAAGTAAAAACAAACAAACAACAAACAAACCACAATACTCTATTCACATTCAGTAAAATCCAGACTATTTCAAAAAGCTGGCCAACATTTACTTTAAAAGTTTTTTTAGATGCTTTGCTTTGATTTAAGATCTCTTAAGTGAGTCTTTGTCTTCATTGAAATGCTTTATTTATTTATTTATTTATTTATTTATTTAGAGACAGGGTCAGGCCTTGAATTCACTATGTAGCTCAGGCTGGCCTCAAACCTGAGGCAGTCAAATCTCCTGCTTCAGCCTCCTAAGTACTAGGATTACAGGCATGCACCACCCCACACAGCTTACTGAAGAGGTTTTTATACTGGAACAGCTGGAAGGCTGAAATATCAGCTCCCAAACCATCATGCCAAAGCTGTACTGTGTTCTAACTCTTAGTGTTTTCATTGTCCACATGGATGGCCTTTCCCATACATTGGAGTTCTTCCTTGAACTCTTGTTCTCCATCTTTCCCAACCTCTGACTCCTCTGGGTTTTCTTTTTTTTGTCTTAAAAATTATATATTCCAATACAATTTTGGAATATAGAATCAAGTGGGGATTTATATGTATACATATATGTATTTATTTATTTATTTATTTTTCTAATCAAATTGGTAGGACAGTTACAATAATTAACACATTGCATACATTCTTCCTAGTGGTTAATTGCTGTACAAGATGTGGACATAATATCCTATTTACAAACACCATTAGAACAAATCACTCTATTCATTAAGAGAATGTAAAATTATATATCTATCCCAACCACTTTGAATACACAGATAACAAAATGGACATACATCTGTATCCCCTTTTTTGTTAAGTTTCTGTTGTTGCTCAAAAATCAGATGACAACGAGGCAAGTCCAAAAGTTAAAAGAAGTGCTTTATTTTAGCTGGTACCCAGCAGCGGTCTCTATGCAAGGTGCGAAGAGGCGCGCCGAGCATTGATAAGGATCAGTATTTAAGCTTGAAAACCAAAAAAACAGGGAAGGGGTGGAAGGAAGAAGTGGCAGGGCCATTAGTTCATTGGGTGGTCCCATTGGGTGGGGTGCTGAAATCAGCAATCATGGGGTACAGCGGGTCTTGTGTTTATGGGGTGGTCCTGTTGGATGGGGGTGCTGAGTTGGCAGTCACATAGAGTTCATGGAGATAAAGTTTGGGGAACAGATATCATAAGACTTGGGTCACAGGGGTGAGGAATTTGGAAGGGTAGACGCATACAGAACAGGAACTCTGTGAGATTAGAAGGGCAACAAAATGGAGTCAATTTTGACAGGGTACAACATTCCCCACTGGTTTTAAGGGGGTCACTAGCTTTGTTCTGTACTGGGAATAAGTTTTAGCCTTGGCTTTGTATCATTATTAAGGTGTCTAACAAATTACTTTTGGAAATCGAGGGAGTGATGGGGAAGCAGGAAGTTACAATTTGACATGGTTTACTAAGGCCGCGCATACAGAATAGAATGGCGGCACTTTGGTCAAGTTATTAAATCATTTTAACATGGGTCACCACTGTCAACCTATTTTAACAGCAAGGAACACTAGTTAACAGAGTCTGAGTAGTTGGGTTTTTAGGACTCTAGAACAAGCAATATCTCCCGTGTCCCCACTGGTTTTGTATCACTTCTTGGGTTGTAATATTAGCCAGGGAGTCTCACCTTGTCTTTTAATTTTGTCTCCTTGAGGGCTCAGCCCTATCTGACTGGACTGCCGTGAGGGTATGTGGGTGACGATCGCTCTGGCTACTTCACGCTGGAATGGGTCGCAGTTGTTGACTAGCAGTCAGAGACACTAGAGGTTTTACCTGAAGGCCCTCAATAGACACCAGGCAATTTTATCTTGGGTAGGCAATTTTTATCTTTTATGGCCATTGGGTATGTCTCAGGCACATGAATTGTCAGACCTAGGGACAACATTGAGTACTGTCCAGTTTGTAAGTGGGGTCACTGGTTGGGTATTTGATAAATTTACATGAGCATCTATTAAAAGTTTAACAGGTTTTTTTTTTTTTTTTTTTTTGTAGTGGTTGTTAACATAGGTTTCCTCAGGCTGAGAGGGGAAGACCCATGACCACCTCAATCTGAAACTTTCTCTGACCATCATAAACATTTACTTTTTTCCTCTATAATTTCACTTTGTATCCTTTTTATTATGAAACACCTACCTGACTCAGACAAATTCCTGGAAACGCTTTTTACTCCTATAGCTTGTGTCAGAAATCTGGAGCTCACTGAGCAACATATAACCTTTTGGTTTTAGATTTTACCTGTATGGTTACTTGGGTTTTAGTATCTTTTAGGGCAGAACAATTTTTCTGAGCAATTAGAACATTTGAGCTGACAAGTACATTTATAAACCTTTTTGAAACCTAGCAATCATAACTCATTAGCTCAAATTAGACCTCTTTATTTATAGAGTCTGACAGTTTACTATAAGTCCCTCTAGTTATAATTATTTTTAATTTTGAGAATATGTGATAACCAGATTAATATCTTATTATTACAATTAATATTTTAAGTTTGGCATATTTTTTAGTTACACTTGTGTTTACTATCAGCATAAAATACATCAAAAATCAACCAGGCTAACTTAATTTACTTATTATGAAATACATAATATTTACTCAGATTAAATCAATGTCCCATTCAGTTTTGGATATGACTCCTATTGTAAGCAAGGAGCACTATGGAGGGATTTATCCTTTTACATTGGTTCTGAGTTTTATGTTTTAAAGACAAGGCCTGGATTTATTTATATGCCCAATGCTATTGGACATTTTTACATTGGCAGGATTTTATCTATATATGAACAATATATCTTAATTATAGCTAAAATAAGATGACAATGACTGGAATAAAGATCAGGGTTGGAGAAAAACAAAGAGACCTGTGCCAATATCCAGCAATGGGCTGGGTTTTTTTTTTCCTGTAGTCATGATTACTCAGGGCTCCTCCATGGAGATGACAAGTAGAGATGACAGTTTGGCCAGAGGGAGGAGGCAGGCCCAAGACCCTTTAGTCTTATTAGACCACCTGGGAAGCTGAGTCTGAGCTCTGGGGCCTCCGCCTCAGAATGCAGTCTTACTTCTAGTGGTTGCCTTGGCAGTCAGGGCATGGTTTGTGGGCCTCTCAAGGTAGTTTTTCTTATGCTGGCCTGATTTTGCAGCAGATGAGCTTTATTGTCGTTGAGATCTTCTTGGAGCCCAGAGAATCAGACTTAGGATCTATTTTGAGGCCACAACAAGAGTAGTTATTTTTGGTCTTTTTGTTCTTTCTCCCTGGTTCTCTCCCAGTTTTAATCATAGGACATTGTTTTCTTAGTGTCCCATAAAATATTAAGTGAGTATTTTGGAGCAGAAGCTATCTTTTGTAGCTCTCTTTTTAATTTTTGAAGTTGACTAAGTAATAAACCTATCTGTAAAATAA